CCCAATCTGGGTTGCTCCATCCCGAGAAAGGTTGTGTCTTGTCTTTTCTCAACATTGGCCTCATGGGCGAACCACGGGAACGTTACAAAAAACACCTTTGGGAAAAAGCAAAAAAAATTTTTAACCTGTATGTTGTACTATATTTCGTGATACCGTGTAATATTGTGTGATCACCTTTTGCGACCTAAGGAGCAAAGTCGATAGGGAAGCCAGATTCGCCTAACAACAGTTTAATTAATTTAACAGCCACAGTGATTCACTTAACAACTCTGGCAAGAAAAGTGGTAAAGGGGGACATTCCCAGTTAACAAATGTTTCACTTAGCAACAGAAATGTTAGACTCCGTTGTGGTTGTAAGTTGAGGATTGATTGTGTCATGCCAAGGAGACTGTCCTGAAGGCATAGGTTGAGATGTCTCATATTTAGGGGTATACGTTTCCTTTTTTTTTTTTTTTTTTTTGATAAAGCACTGAGTTATCCATAACCAGAAGCCACAAAATAGTTCATAAGTCCAGTGACGGTTCATTCATTGGGCTTATCTAAAATTTAAATAATGTTTGCTTTCATTTGTGAATATTACCTTGATTATCAGTCGTTACACCTCAGTCCCTGGTGCAGTGCAGCTTGTAAATCCACCTGCCCATCAGCTTTGGAAGGGAAGTCATGCTCTGCTGCCATTTTAGGATGGATGGCTGAGAGAGATTTTTTTATATATATAGTTCATGTTTTGTTTTGTTTTGTTTTTATTATTTTACTTTACTATTTTATTTTACTTATTTTCTTTTCTTTTAATTTTTATTTTACTTTAATTTTATTTATTTTATTATTTTACTTTATTGTTTTAATTATTTTATTTACTTTATTTTATTATTTTACTTTCCTATTTTATTTTACTTTGTTATTTTCTTTTAATTTAATTTTTATTTTACTTTACTTTAATTTTATTTATTTTATTATTTTCCTTTACTGTTTTATTTTACTTTATTATTTTAATTTTATTATGTTTTACTTCATTTTGTTTGTTTTACTTTACTATTTTATTTTACTTTATTGTTTTAATTATTTTTTTTACTTTATTTTATTTGTTTTACTTTACTATTTTATTTTACTTTAGTGTTTTAATTTCATTTAATTTCATTTAATTTTACTTTAACTTATTTTATTATTTTACTTTACTATTTTATTTTATTNACCGTCGTAAATACGAGTCCGTTGCCAATTTTGATCCCGTGACCATGGGGGGATGCTAAAAAGGTCGTAAGTGTGAAAAATCGGCGTAAGTCGCATTTTTCAGTGCCGTTGTAACTTTGAACGGTCACTAAATTAACTGTTGTAAGTCGAGGACTAGCTGTATCAGGGAAATTTAATGCGAGTTTTTTTCTTTTCTTCGCCCTCCGCTACGGAGGACAAAGATGGCAGAAGGGTGCTTTAGGGACGAGGCAAACGAAGTCCATATGCCCCTCCCTCTCAGGCGCGGAACCGGGATTTCTACCGTTACACACACTCTCACGAAAACATCTTGAGGTGGATATTGCGGAAGTGTGGGGGCGAGAAGAGCGGAGAGAGAGGTCACTACGTCGATTATCTGGCCGTTAAAAAATATTTCCTAAAGGCAGGAGGGCGCCGCGAAAAACACTCGTTTCAGAGTGTCTGCTAAAGTTAACAGGGAGGCCGCTTCGGTGCGGTTGAAAACAGACACATCGGAGATCATCTTGGCTCAGGATTCAGGATTCTCCTGCTAGGCCCGGATTCACAAAATGGCTGCAAAGGAGTCCTCTGTTCGACTTGAGGCAGATGGGCCCCTCGGGGAAGGGCGGCGACACATTTGCAAGCTGGCGTTATGAAGCCGATAATGGACACGTCGGCGTCTCCTTCACCCGAGGGAGTTTGCTGTCTGAAGAAGCCAACTTTGAGTCGGGCGGCTTCTGTTTCCTCCTTGTAGGATCTCCGCGTAGGAACTATTCCCAGTCCCTCTCCAGCAGAATTTTGTCAGGCCCGGACCTCTGAGTGTCTCTTTCCTTGCCCCTCTAGCTCAGCCCACAAGGCCTGCCCAAGAAGGGACTGGTAGCCCTGCATTGACCCTGGCTTCACATGTGAGATGGCAACTTCGGTTTTCCAGTGTTGACGTCAGGACTGAATGCTACAGAACCCTTGCGGGACGAGGAGGTGCTGTGTCGCGGGACGGAGGCCGGTGACTGGGGGGTTGTGGCCCCACTCACTGACCGGCTGGACTTTGAAGGGGCCTGCTGGGAGGAAGCAGGCTGCCCAACGGTTCCCGTGTTGGGTTTCCCTAGCAGACCGGGAACCGATGGGGAGGAACGGTACGTGACGCTCCTGGATGATTTCTGCGCCTGCTGGGAGGACCCTGTGTCCGAGGGTTGGGCGAGCCGGTTTGGCAAGGAAGGCTGAGACGCCGAAAGCGGCCGGACGTCCTGCGTCAGACGTCCCGCCGAAAGGCCCTGCGAGCTCCGGTGTTTGACCATCTGCTGAGGCTGCAAGAAGAGGGAAATATGGGACCCCGTGGCCCGAGAGAGACTGTAGTGGAGAGTTTGCCCTGGCGGGACGGACGCGCTGTGGGCTGCCTGCTGCAAGAGAGACGTGGAGACCGACGTACCCCGAGTTTTGGATAGCTTAGGCTGGCTCATCCCAGGGATGGGGTCCCCCTTCTGAACAGGCCGCGAAAGGACTTGTCCTTTGCCCACCGTACTCTCCAAAGGGAACATGCACTGAACCACAGGAGAACACGGGGAGCCGGCCGCAGGTGTCTGCAGGTGGGACTGCGTCCCCGAGGCAGGGGAGCTGACGGAGGACGGCCGGGAGCCCCCCAAGCTGGGTTGGGAGCGGCGGGGATGGCGCAGGAGAGCCGCTGAGTCGGGAGAGAGAGGGCTGGAGATGGACGAAGGGGGAAGGAAGATGTGGGTCGCCAGACTTTGCTGGTGGGTCAATGCAATGGCCACACTGGTGGTGGCGGCTGCCGTCTGCAGCGGTGCATGGACGAGGGGCTCCCAGATAAGCGGTTTGCCGCTCAGCTCCCGGCCAACGGTCATGGGCTGGAGGTCCTGGATGTTATGCGCCATGTCTTGGTCGTGTTTGACGATCTGCTGGATTATCTCATTGTTGACCGTGCTGGAACTGTGCTCTGCTCTCTTCCGCAGCAGGATGGAATTCTTCTTTCCTGAAGGTGGAAGGAAACGGGGTCAGAGGCCACACAGAAGTGCAGACAAAACTTGGAGAGTTGCTTGATATGGTGGTGAACCACATTGGCATGACGAGGAGGAGGAGGAGGAAAAGGAGGAGGAGAAGATAGAGAACAAGGAGGAGGAGAAGATGGAGATGGGGATAGTGAACGAGGAGGAGGAGGAGATGGAGATAGAGAACGAGGAGACAAGAAAAAGATGTAGTGGAAAAGGAGGAAAAGGAGATGAGGATGGAGAAGGAGGTGGAGATGTAGAAGAGGGAGATGGAGGAGAAGGAGACAGAGGAGATAGAGAAGAAAAAGCAGAAGATGGAGATGATGGAGATGGAGCAGAAGAAGGAGATGAGGATGGAGAAGAAAGAGGAGAAGGAGACGGAGGAGATAGAGAAGAAAGAGCAGAAGAAGGAGATGATGGAGATGGAGCAGAAGAAGGAGATGAGGATGGAAAAGAAAGAGGAGAAGGAGACGGAGGAGATAGAGAAGAAAGAGCAGAAGATGGAGATGATGGAGATGAAGAAGAAGGAGATGAGGATGGAGAAG